TCGGCGAAGTCGAAATAAGTTTCGACGTTGACGCTTTCGCGAGGATTTTCGTCGTCCATCGGAATAGGCACGGAGCAGTATGGGAGTGGTCCTGCTTCTTCCGAGGCGTTATCCACGTTCTGCTCGTCCCAGTCAGCTTCGTCTGCTGCCGAGGCGAAGTGTCGGTCACCACAGAAGCCACCTGTGGGATCCCGATCTTCTTCCAGGTTGGCAAGGTATGTCGGAAGGGTGAGTCGTTCGTAGAAAATGACGTCACGTGCTGCTACTATTTCTTTGGAGTGGACGTCGAAAATCTTCCACGCGTTGTAATTTCTTTCGATGCCCAGGAGTAGTCCCCACTGTGCGCGTTGGGAAAATCGACCAGCTCGTGCAGATGGGGGTCGGTACTGTACCATGCAGCCGAAAACTCTTAACATTTTTGTGCTGCCCTGTTTTCCTGTCCACAGCAGGTGCGGTGATGCGTTGTTCGGTAGTGACGACGACGAAAGCAAGTTGTGCAGCATGATAGCGTGGTCCATCGCTTCAAGCCACTGGTGATTGGGCAGTCGCATGCCACGCAGTAATTTGCGCATGGTGTTCTGGAGAGTTCAATTCATCCGTTCCGCTACGCCTTGCTGTTGATGGGCGTAGGGAAGCGAGATGAGTCTCTTGATTCCCCTTTCTGCCAAGAACTGCTTGAACCTCTGTGAGGTGTATTCTCCTCCTCCGTCTGACTGAAAGCTTTTCAGTTTCACGCCCGATTCTCGTTCTGCTACTGGGAGCCAAGCGACGAAGGCTTCGAAGGCCATGTCCTTGCTCGGAAGATTAAGGTGCCAGACGTAACGCGTAGCGGCATCGATGAACGTGATGGTATAACTGTATGCTCCTTGTCCGGGTTCGCGATTGTACAGGATGTCGCTGTACACTTTTTCAAGTGGTGCGTAAGCTGGTGCGCTTGGGTTGTGGTGAGAAGCGAATGGTCGATGCGGTAAGTCTGCTTCGGGGCAGGTAAAACACGTTCCATGAGCTCGTCGAAGTTTGCTTCCATCGGTTAGAAGCAGTGAATCTTTGTCGAGAACTCCTGCTCTGATTGTGTTGTTCAATACCGTATTACTTGGATGTCCCATTCGTGCGTGCCAGATGTCTTCGCTAGCGCGATGTCCGGGTGAACGACGATACAAGTCGGAGTTGGAGTAGAAACTTGCGGTGAAATTTGCACTTTGGTGTACTTCTCGTGATTTTGGGTGAAGCTGTTGCGCGGGAGTCGGTGGAGTGTCGTCGATTTGAGGTGATGCAGTTGAAGGACCAGCGATTGGTGTTGATGTTGCTGCTGCTGCTGCCGTTGTTTCTGCTGCTGCCGATGTTGTTTCTGCTGCTGCCGATGTTGTTTCTTCTGCTGCCGATGTTGTTTCTGCTGCTGCCGAGTGTTGAATCGTTGCTAATGCTCTTGTTCGTTCTGCTTCAGGGATGGTGTGCGAGTACCAGAAGCCTTCTGGACTGAAGTCAGGGTCAAGATCTGGAGGGTGTGTCGAGGAGGTGAAGGTAACGATCCCGTCGCTGTCAGCGGTGCCAAGATCTGGGACGAAGTCGAGGACGAAAACATTGTTTTTCAGGACCGCCTTCCCGATGTAGAGACCACCTTTTCCGTGGAAGAGCTTGAACTCCTGTGTGGTGCTGTCTGCTTCAAGATGGATCCCCTTCGCCATTAGTTGGCTGACGCTTAGTAAGTTGTAGCCAAGTCCCTCTGTTATTAAAACTTTTGACATTTGCAGTATGACGTTTGTCTCTCGTGACTGAAGTTGCACTACGCCTTGTCGTCGTGTGCGCAGATTCTGATTGTTGGCGACGGTGATGACGACCTCGCATTGAAGTTGGTGTTCACGTTGAACAAAGCGTCCTGAAGAGCACATATGCTGTCCGCAGCAGCTGTCCAAGAACCACGTATCTTTTCCGGACGGCTCGCTTTGAGCGATGGCTGCATACGTTGGATTTGGTTGAAGTGACTCGCGGCGAGGCGTGCTGTTGTCGAGTCGCTCTTCCGGTGAGTAGTGTGGTGGTGACTCTGTGATGCAGGAGTCGGTCAGTCGTGTCATGCAACTGACGATGTTTCTTGTTCCTTGCGCAGGTTGTCCCGTCGATATCGTTGAGGCTTGTACTTGAGAAGTCGGGTTCGCTTGCGTTGAGGCGACTTGACTGCTTGAAGGGCGAAGCGGCCGGTTTGGGCACTATGTACGGGGGTGACCTGACGTCTTGCAAAGGTGACAGAATGGAGGTACTGATTTCGGTTGATGCCGATTGTTGTTGTTGTAGCGTCGTTGAGTGTGGAATGCAAATTCGGGCACTGATGCCTTCTTCTTGTGTCGTTCCTCTTGCAGGTCCATATCTTGCTGCTCAGCATGGATCTCGGCGCAGAGTGCTGCTTCTGATATTTTTCCGTGGGCTCGGAGTATGGCGCGAGTGGAGCGCCACTGAGGACCGAGACCGCCGATGATGACTGTGACGAAGGCGTCTTCTGAAATCGACCCTCCGCATCGAAGGAGTTTGTCGCGCAATTCGCGACAACGGCTGATATACGCCATCCCCTTTTCGCCTGGTTTCATTTCGACTGTCGTCAGTTGCGCCATTAACCGACTTTGATTTACGCTGTCTGTTGCTTGATACAGGTTCTTCAGGTGGTTGTACGCGAGCTCTGCAGAGTTGCCGTATCCCCGGTAAGACCGTATATTCTGCTGCTGATTCGGAGTACTATTTCTCAGTAGTATTGTGTACGCCATCATTGACTGATACGTGTATTGCTGCTTGTCGTACTGTGTGCCATGTGTTGGATATGGCAGGGACCCGTCGAAGAAGCCAAGGATCTGCGTGCCTTCCATCATTAGCTCGAACTCGAATGACCAGGTAAAGAAGTCCTTTCCGTCGAAAGGCTTTGTCGTTTGCAGTTTTAAGACATGCGCGAACTGCGACTGAACTTGAAGTGCATCCAGTGTCCTTTCTTGTCCAGATGCAGGCTGCGGGTGTGGCATAAAGCTGACGGAGCCACGCTGGGGCTCGTACGGAGCAAAGGTAGGCCGTTGCTGTTGATTTCCACGTGCGTACGATGAACCATCTAGGCTCATTGGTGTTGCGTTGTTGTTGTTGCTGTTGTTTGACTGTGCAGGTGCCCCTTGCTGGTGTTGTTCGTAGAAGGACATGAAGGAGAAGAACTTCTCCATCATGTCTGGATCGAAGGCCGCAGCTTGATTTGCGGGAGTTTCCGAAGACGATGCCTTTGGTCTTGTTGCCGTACCCTCCTCTGTCTGTAGGCCAGAGGCAGGAGGTGGAGTAGGAGTGGTACCGGGAGAGCCGTTAGAGGAGCTTCTCTCCTTCTGCGTTGCCATGTCTTGTGATGTTGTAGATATCTTGATCGTAGTCGAATTTGTCCTGACTGCTCTCATACCATGTTGGGCTGAAAAAACCCTTAGGATCTTTGCAGGACAGAATTCAAGGGTAGAACAATGTAGTAGCGGAAGCGTTTTAATGAAAGGATTGTGAACCACCTTGCGCTGGTATGTGAGGGCAAAGTTGATTGATTGATAACAATGAGATACAAGCTTTTATAAGGATACAGGGAATATGAAAAGTTATAACTAATAACCGTTTTACTATTGCTGTTGCGGTTCGATACAGTGTCGACTCGGGCAACTGCTCAGTATCGAGACAGTTGTTTGTCCTTTCTGTCGCACTGTACTTGTCAGGTCAAAGGTCGCTGACCTTTGACTTTCGCGTAACCTCCAGCGGTTGTTCAACCTCCGAGGGTTGACTCGCTGATGCTTCGATGTGATCTGCTTCGCTTTTGTCTTGGTGTTTCGACACGACAGAGGCGCTTTAAATTAATTGTTTCCAACAAAATTTAACTTGTAACTTCAGGATGATTCATGTGTTTTTCCCTGAAATTTCAGAATGGCAGTTAAATTTTGCCCTGAAGCGTTAGGGTGAATGTAGAGGGATGCCTTGACTCGTGGGAAGGGGAAGAAGGGGTGGAGGGGGGGGAGAGGGGGAGAGGGGAGGAAGGAGGCTGGGGGGTGTGTGTGCTAGTTTTGTCCCCACCCCTCCCCCTCCAAAGTTTTTGCTCAGCCAGTTGTAGTGAAACCACTGAACAACCTGCTCCTCTCGTGCCTTCCCCTCCACTCCAGTGTCTTGTATTTTTTTCCCTTAAACATCCAGATAAATTTCTGCTGGTGCCCTGAAATTTCAGGATGGCCAGGGAATTTTGCCCTGAAAAATCAGGGCATTTTGGAAAGTTTTCAAAAGTTGCCCTGAGGGCTCAGGGTGCCCTAAATCCTAGCACAGGCCCTAATGATGTCCCACCTGCGCGCGAGGAGCACCACCGTTGTCACCGAAGACATGTGCCTCGGGGGGACCACGGGCGACAACACGCGCGAGGAGCACCACCGTTGTCACCGAAGACATGTGCCTCGGGGGGACCACGGGCGACAACACGCGCCTGCTTGGGAAGGCTCCCGAGGAGGAGGATGAGGAGGAGGAGCAGCTGCAGGCGGAGGGCGTCAGGGAGGTGGGCGTGGCAACAGGGCTGGATGTGCTGTACCAGGAGACCCCCAACTACCAGGGAGCGGCGGCCGAGGCTGACCGCATGATCGAGCTCAAGCAGATGGCCAGGCATGCCTGGCGAGTGCCAAACTTGGGGATGCAGGGGCCTGCATCTGCTAGTGCAGATGAGGAGGGCGTTACCGAGGGGGGCTAGGAAGAAGTAGGATTGGATAAGTGCATGTATGTACCCCCCCCTGAATGCAAGAAGAACCATTTTAAAGACACCCCCCCTTTATAAGAAAACCCCTGAACCCTAGTATTGTTTAGAAGACACTGTCTTAAGTCGTACACCCATGTAGGTGGCTTATAATCAGAAGCACCCAACTATAAGATACACCCGTTTTAAAGACACCCCATGTCTTCAATTCGACACTGTCTTCTATCCGGGCGATGACGGTACCGTGGCTCATACGAATCCTGTATACAGCCCTGCTTCACTCCACAAGGGGGTATCCCTCGCCCTTCCATGCCTTGAGTCCACCCTCCAAGCTAACCACCTTTGTGAAGCCCTGCAAATTTGTATGGAGGGATGAGATCATGGGATGGGATGAAATGGTGCTAAGTGCAAAATGACTACATTTGAGGCGCCTAAAAAATCCACCCTCCAAGCTGACCACCTTGGTGAGGCCATGCATTGGCGTGGAGGGATGGGATCATGTAATGGGATGGAATGGTGCTAAGTGCGGCAGGCAGACCGAGCATAAGGCTGTGCATGAGGCTATGCATGAGGCTATGCATGAGGCTGTGCACGAGATGCATGAGGCTATGCAGAAAGAACATGATACACAGATAGAGAGCCCGCAAGAATCAGAAGTGGACAGAACAACCTATCCAGTGTGAGACACCTCTCTCCACACTACCACACCATTCAAGCCACAGCCTTTGATACACGACTCTTCAGCACACTCCACCATGACATACTGTGCCCCATGCAATACATCACACTTCAGCACAGTCACACCAACATCCATCATCGTTTACATGAAAGCCATAAGCATCATCCACATGCATGTACCCTACCCCATGCCCATCATCCACATGAATGTACCCTATCCCATGCCCATCATGCACATGCATGTACCCCACGCATGTACCCTCCCCCTCCCCATCACCCATCCCACTTCCCCTCCCCTTAACCATCCCCATTCCTATCCCCATGACCATGCCCAAGCCCAAGCCCATCCCATCCCATCCAATCCCACCCCTCCCCAACCCACCCCACCCCATCCTCCCCTCCCATCCCATCCCATCCCATCCCATCCCATCCCATCCCATCCCATCCCATCCCATCCCATCCCATCCCATCCCATCCCATCCCATCCCATCCCATCCCATCCAATCCCATCTTATCCCATCCCATCACATCACATCACCAGTCTCCTCCCCTCACCTCCCATCCCCATCCCATCCCATGCCATCCCATCCCATGCCATCCCATCCCATGCCATGCCATGCCATCCCATCCCATGCCATGCCATCCCAATGCATCCCAATGCATCCCAATGCATCCCCATCCCCATCCCCATCCCCATCCCCATCCCCATCCCCATCCCCATCCCCATTCCCATTCCCATCCCATCCCCATCCCATCCCATCCCATGCCATGCCATGCCATCCCAATGCATCCCCATTCCCATCCCCATCCCCATCCCCATTCCCATCCCCATTCCCATCCCATGCCTTACCGCTTCCACCAAGTCCTCTGCTGCAACAGCGGCCCTCCGTCCCGCCCAACACGACTGCATGCGCATGAGACGGTGGGAAGAACGGAAGACGAGAGGACAGTTATGACAATACAAAATGGTGCGACAGGCGAGAGGAAAGAAACAAGGGTTGGGGATGAGGAGAGAGGGTTAATATGCGAATGGGAAACAACCAGAAGGCGATTGAGAGAGCGCAGGTAGAGCGGCGGTAGAGAGAGAGAGCAGGTGGAGCGGCGGTAGAGAGAGAGAGAGAGCAGGTAGAGCGGCGGAAGAGAGGGAGCAGGTAGAGCAGCGGTAGAGAGAGAGCGCAGGTAGAGAGAGAGCGCAGGTAGAGCGGCGGTAGAGAGGGAGCAGGTAGAGCGGCGGGCGCACGACAAGGATGGGCGTGTCGGGCTGGAACTTGCTCTTCACGACGTCCAGGAAGTCGCTGCGCTTCTCACTGGCGCCTGTTGGGTGATGAGGTGGGGGGGTGATGGGGTGAGGTGAGGACCACATGGCACAGACACATGGAGGAGTGGGAGGGAGCAGGAGACGCGCGTTTGGACGTGGAATGGCATCATGGCGTGCACATGTGCGGTGTTAGTGGCCACGCCAGTGCTCACGCCTGACCTGAGAGAGTGTGCACTCGTGTGTGCGAGCATGCACGTGCATTGTGATTCGAGTATGATAGTACGTGGCGCGTGCACACATGAACGTATGCGTGCAGCCCGAGTACAGATGTGTGCATGTGCCCTTTTGAATCGACTCGAACGAACAGTCAGATCACCTTTATGGGGATCGCCAGTCATCACTGCGACGTTCACAGAGCCTGCCACGTGGCTCGCCGCGAATTCCTCTTCCGTCCTGCCACGTCACCATCGTGGTAAAGCAATAAGTCAGAAAATCGCAAGGTGTGAGGGATTCGGGAACGAAAATGCAATGTCGACCCGAGGATTCGTAGAACAACAAAGATCAAATGGCAGAAACAGAAATGAGCGAAGAGGCGGCAGCCGATGGTGTGCCGTTTAATCGCGAAGGCGCGCGACGCGTGAGACGACTGACGAATTACGCGGTGTTTACTCGTACCCGCACAATCAGAGACTGTGTTTGCTCAACTAGTAGTATGCGTAAAGGATGAATATCGCGGTGCGCGATGGACGGCCGGAAAAGAGCGCGATGCAGCCGCGGAAGCGAGCGAGCGGAATGTTCCGCGGATTGCGCGAGAGCGCGGGGAGAGGGCGCAGGGAGAGGGGGCGCGGCGGACGAATTGAGCTCGAAACGGGCGGGAGAAGCAACCTGACGTCGAGGAAGGTGTGGGAGGCATCGAGGAGCGTCTTCGCCTCGCGGGGCGGCACGGTGGCGAATCCCGCCATGGATGAGACGAGGCGCCGCAGCGGGACTGCCACCACTAGGTTAAAGCTGGCGCTCGCTGCTACGCGCGTGGCTCGTTGCATACGGAATTCAGCACCGGCAACAGTGCGCCTGCAGCGGCACGAATCGCGCCGTCACGTGTTTGTGGGCGAGAAGAATATGAGGACTTCGTAAAAAAACGTTCTTGCAACAGATCCATGAATGGCTTGGCTATGGGCTTTTCCTCAGTGGTAGAGTAGGACAATGGAGGGAAAGGTAGGGAAAGGGAGGGAAAGGCGTGATAATGGGGCAAGGCAAACAATCCCTCCACCAAGTGCAGTGAACCTGGTGAGCGATGGGCTCCTTATGAAAAGCTGCGGGTGTATGCAAGATAGTATCGAACAGAATGAGGAGCTCATATTTAGGTGGAATTCACAAGTAGAAAAGAAATGAACAACTCCACTCAACAGCTGTAATGAAAAAAAATATTAAAATTATAATTTATCTATAAATAAACAATTCGGGAATTTGAAAAAATATTATATTGATATCTCTACCTCATGATTTTTATATCTTATCTTATAATGGAGTTAGGAGCTAGCCGATAACTTCAGCCAACATTTTAGTTTGTAACTTTACCTTAACGGGGGTATTCCGTGGTTTTCGCTTCAGTCTGGTTCGGCCTACGTTTCCGGACCGAACCACTTCCGAGTCGCCACTGTGCCGCTCGCTACCTTACCGAGCGTCGTCACCCCGAGGTCCTCGGCTAGCTCGAATCGAACCTCGTTATAGCCTTTCGTAGGGTAATTTCTGTAGTTTCTACTTCGAGTACATCTCAAATCATTCGTGCAACCCGCACTTTCACAACACTAGCATCCCCGCTGCCTTTTCTTGCACTTCTTGCTCACACCCTTCCAGTAATCTCTTCATCCTTTCTCACACCACCTTACTACTGCCTCCCAACGGACACACCATGGCTGCTGTACCCGTAGTAGCGCGTTCTTCGATTTCCTTCACCACACATTCGCCGCAGATCCCTCCCTCTGAAGCTCTTCGTTCTCCCTCGATAAGAGCAGCGCCTGCATTTTCGTCTCCGTCGCCATGCACTCCCTGCCGCCGCTCGTCCCTTTCTCAGCCTCGCGCGTTAGCCTCGCCATCGAACATCGCCGCGTCGAGTTTCCGCAGCCAACGGCGTTCCAACGCGGAAGAACCTTTCCAACATTTCTCGTTCTCAACGCTTCTCGGCGCGTCGCTCCCTCGCTGTCGCCACAAACCGTCCCGCTTGGCCCGCCCGCCCCACGCCGCTGCTCCCGCAAACCACCGTCTTACGTCGCTAACATCTCGTCGCCCGTGCGACGCTGGCGATACAGACTCTGCGACACCTCGGGCGGGAAGCCGGCGGGAAGTGCGAGCCCCGTGTGACCGTGCGACGCCGCGGCTGCTTAGACGGCGGAGTGGAACAGCTTGCTCCGCGCATAGCGACCAAGTCAGTAACACTCACAGCAGCAACCTGCATTGCGAACACTTCCCCGAAGAGTCGTCCCCGTTATTGAGCTCCTCGAAGGAAGAGCATAAACCGCGGATATCCCAACTCCTTCTCGCGACATTATCGCCCCCATCAGCTCCGTTAAAAGCGGCGGGCGCGGCGGTGGCGACTGCGGCAGTCATCTGGCTCGCGGCTGCCCTGCGTTCCGCTGGCGTGCTGCCACGTGTCTCACTCAGATCGCTTATGCTCCCGCCTCCCGCTCATGCTGCTGTGATAACCGCAGCTGACCCCAAACCGAGTAGGCTAGCCTCAGTCGCGGTAGACTCCAAGTTTAGCAAGCCAGGTTTGGATGCCGGAGCTGCGGCCGAGACTCGGGCTGAGGCCGGGGAGGTAGTGCTGGGTAAATCGGCGCAGCAAATAGAGCAAGGGATTCAAGAGCAGCAGCAGCAGCAACCACAGCTCCAGTTGGAACAGCAGCAGCAGAAAGCACCTCAGAGGCGTCAGTACTACGAGGTGCAATGGGGCAGGCGAGGGGGAGTGGCACCTGCGCGGTACACAGCGGTGGTGAGGTTTCCCAAGGCGTGCGGCATCCTCGTGGGCACGCCCGTGCGCATGCGAGGCATCGCCGTAGGCTCGGTGGTGGCGGTCCGGCCGAGCCTGACGAGCGTGGACGTGGTGGTGGAGATCCTCGACGAAGACATTGTGATTCCGCGCGGCACGCCTATATTCGTTAACCAGTCGGGGCTTATAGCGGAAACGCTTATAGACATGACGCCGCTGCTGCCCATTCCCGAGTATGACGCAGGGCCGAGGGGTGCGGGGTGCCGGGAGGAGGGGGTGATAGTGTGCCATAGGGAGAGGGTGGAGGGGGAGATAGGGGTGAGTATGGATGAGATGGTTCGGCTGTATGTGAAGATGAGGCGCGATGCTGAGAGGGAGAAGGTGAAGAGGAGTGTGGGGGGTGGTCCGGTGGTGGTGAGGAGTAAGGTTTGAGGGTTGAAAGGAAGACGGGGGAAGGAAGCTGTGGGGCAGAAGATTGGGGGAGAAAGCTATGGGACGAGAGGGTAGGCGGTAGGGGGACACGGGGATGGGACGGTGAGAATGTGCGGATTGTGTTTTGCTCTTCGCGAGAATGAGACGGAATGAGGCAAGAGGGCATGAATGTGGCGCTGCTTGGGTAGTTGAGCAACTGAGGGAGCAATAAAGGCGTGACGTGACGACTGGCAGGGTGACAGGCACACAGAAGGGGCCGAGATGGGCAACGGAGGCGGAGGGATGGCGTGGAGGAGAGGGAGTGTGGCGAAGGGCAAGGCGTGAGAGCAGATAGGAGTGGGTGTGGAGTGGTACGGAGGTCAGTGGCTCTCCCTGAGGGATGCTTGCTGATACCTCAGGAACCTGAGGGAACGGGATGTGCTGTTGGCCTGGGTGGTTGAGCAGCTGAGGGAGCCACAAGGCCGTGGCCACTGGCAGGGAGACAGACACGCAGAAAGAGAGGGCCGAGAGGGGCAACGGAGGGGTGGTGTGGAGGAGAGGGAGATCGGCGAATGGCAAATTGCGGTAAAAGATGGGAGAGATTGTGTGAGGTGGTAAGCAGGTCAGTGGCTCCTTGAGGGATGTTGTTGATGCCCCAGGAATGGGCTGGAAGTAAGGAGGCAAAAATTCAACTTCTAGAGGCCATTCCTACAGAAGCCCCGTACTCTGCAGGACGGAAAGTAGCACTAGGCTGCGGAGGCTGGATTGGGGGGAAATTGGCAGAGTAGGGAGAGGGTTGGCACTTAACTCTTGTTTAGAAGCGAGGGCTGCTCAAGTGCTGCCAGATGGCTCCATCTGCTGCTGCCCTCGCTGGTCGTATAGGCTCGTTCTGAAGCTCTTGAGTTGTTGCCAGGGATGTGCTTAGCACTGTGGTGGCTAATACGGTAGAACCACATTGCAGACTTGCTGTGGGGATGCAGGCATGCAGGCAGTTATGCCACGCTCACATGTGCTCCAGTTGTTTTGCCTTTACCATGAAGCATAGTGTAGCCATGAGTTTTGGACACCAGTCAGCTTTTGCTGGCATCAAGGTGCAATCCATGGCATAGGCATGGTGTTATGGTGTAGATTTAGTGCGTTGGATCTTGTGGTTAGGATTCGCCAACACCCATGCATGCATACTGTTGTTAACAGGCCTGTGCTGGCTCCCACTGTTCATCATTAGCTTGTCTTGTCTATCACTGCACAATATGTTTGCACAAGTGGAATTGATGTTTCCACAACACCAACCAATGTTGGGGAATCACAACACAACAGTCATTGCAAGCAGCGCTTTTGTCTGTCGCTACTACAACTCGTCGTGGTGAAACAACTTGTCAAACGCATCATCCTCCTCACCATCACCATCCCCCTCCATCCCATCATACGCCATATCCTCCTCCTCTGCCGCCTCCATCCCATCCTCCCCCATTTCCCCCTCCATCCCCCCTTCCCCTATCCCGCTCTCCTCCATCTCCCCATCCTCACTCTCTTCCTCCTCCTCGTCATCCAGAGGCGAGGGCTCGAGGTGGAACTCCGTGGAGGCATGGTCCTTGATGGCTTGAATGAACTCCTTGAGCGTGCGAGCAGCCACCTTCACCTGTTGGTCCATGGCATGCCACACAAATGAGGCGTACACACATGAGGCGTACACACATGAGGCGTACACACACACACGAGGCGTACACACACACATGAGGCGCACACACACACATGAGGCGCACACACACACATGAGGCGTATACACACGGGAGAGACATGAGAGGGCACAGCGGCTTCATCAAGCTCAGTGGTGGCATGGTCATTGATGGCTTGGGGAATTCCTTGAGGGTCCGTGCGGCCACCTTCACCTGTTGGTCTTGTAGGTGCACACACAGCATGAGCCGCACATAGCATGAGCCGCACACACAAGTATGCACTGTTCAGAGACATGAACAGACACGACCACACAACCTCTCTACTATATTCCATGCTGTACAACACTTGCCATGTGTGCACATGCACTCCACACATGCAAGCAAAGGCATTGCAATGGCAGTATTTGAAAGCGTGATGGTGGCCACTGTCCACCCCACAACATGGCAGCCTGTGATGCAGGCAGCACAGGCAGGCAGCACAGCCAGGCAGCACAGGCAGGCAGCACAGGCAGGCAGCACGGGCAGGCAAAGGCCATGCGGGGCTGGTCTCACCGGGTCTGTCTTTTTCCCCGCGGGGTAGAATACTATGGTGGGGAAGCCCTCCACCTGCAGCACAAGGCACGGCGAGAGGGAGAGCAAGAGGCAGAGAGGCAGAGAGGAAAAAAAAAAACTGATTTGCAGGTTCTATCGGTGTCGTACCAACACTGAAAAAATCTCTAGCTGCTGAGGTGAGGACACATGTGTGGGAAAGAGAATCGTAGAGTGAGCAAGGGAAGGGACAGGAGAAGACGAGTGGAGGGCATGGGGATGGGCAGAGTGGGGGGAAGCATGTGAGGACGGGTGGGAGCATGATAGGACGACAGGGAGGAGGAGAGCATGGGAGGGAGGAGGAGAGCATGGGAGGGAGGAGGAGAGCATGGGAGGGAGGAGGAGAGCATGGGCGGGAGGAGGAGAGCATGGGAGGGAGGAGGAGAGCATGGGAGGGAGGAGGAGAGCATGGGAGGGAGGAGGAGAGCATGGGAGGGAGGAGGAGAGGAGGGGAGGGAGCAGAAGAGGAGGGGCTAGAGGAGTGGAAGGAGCATAAGAGGAGGGGCTAGAGGAGTGGAAGGAGCATGAGAGGAGGGGAGGGAGCAGGGGGGGAGGGGGGTGAGGGAGCAGAGGACGAGGGGAGGGAGCAGGGAAGTAGGGGGGCGGGAGAGGAAGGGGAAAGCTTGATATGAGGGGGAGAGGTTGAGATGAGGGGGAGAGGTTGAGAGAAGGGGGAGAGCTTGAGAGGAGGGGGAGAGGTTGAGAGAAGGGGGAGAGGTTGAGAGGAGGGGGAGAGGTTGAGAGGAGGGGGAGAGGTTGAGAGGAGGGGGAGAGGTTGAGAGGAGGGGGAGAGGTTGAGAGGAGGGGGAGAGGTTGAGAGGAGGGGGAGAGGTTGAGAGGAGGGGGAGAGGTTGAGAGGAGAGAGAAAGCATGCCTCTAGGCCGGGGTACTCATTAGCCGTGCCATCCATCTTGGCAATCACCACTGACTGCACCGTGCTGAACCGCTCTGCCAGCCTCTTGTATGTGGGCTCAAGCTGCTGGCAGTGGCCGCACCAGGGGGCATACACCTGGTGGACGGGGAGAGAGGGGCGAGTGGGGCGAACGGGGGGAGAGGGGGGAGAGGGGAGAGCGGGGCGAGTGGGGGGAGAGGGGCAAGTGGGGGGAGAGGGGCGAGTGGGGGGAGATGGGTGAGTGGGGGGAGAGGGGCGAGTGGGGGGAGAGGGGTGAGTGGGGAGAGGGGCGAGTGGGGGGAGAGGGGTGAGTGGGGGAGAGGGGCGAGTGGGGGGAGAGGGGTGAGTGGGGGTAGAGGGGTAAATGGAGAGAGAGGGGCAAGTTGAGTGAGTGGGGCGAGCTGGGCGATCAAGACAAGCGGAACGAGTGGGGGGAGAGGAGGGAGAGGGGGGAGAGGGGCGAGTGAGGAGGGGGGGGCGAGTGAGGCAGGAAGGACGAGTGAGAGGGGAGGGGGCGAGCGGGGAGAGGGGCAAGTGTGGGGGAGGGGGGAGTGGGGAGAGAGGGGCGAGTGGGGGGGGAGGGACGAGACAGAATATGATATAACGAGGGGAGTCGAAGAGAGTGGGAAAAGAGTGGGAAGCGGCACAGCAGGAAAGACAGAAACGGTGGGACAGGTGAAGAAGGTGTGGGGTGTGGAGTTACACGTGTGGGGTGTGGAGGCATGCAAGAGTTGCTTGAAATCTGCAGACAGCTAAAGAGTGCTCAATGCTCATGACTGTTTAGAATTCTCAAGACACTTTTGAGAATTCTCAAGAGGGGCGAGGAGCTAAAGAGTGCTCAGTCATCATAATTAAACACTACTTCAGGATATCGAGTACAAAATCCGTGCACGCCCCTCTCACCCACCCCTCTCACCCCGCCCCTCTCACCCACCATGCCCCGCCCAACACGCACCTCCAGCAGCACGTCTCTGGTATTTTCCAGCACAATGCGCTCAAACGAGTCCCCCACCACCACCGTCACTGGCCCCTCATTCTGCCACCGCCGCGCATGAGGAGCGGTAGGGTAGAGGGCAGGTGTGGGATGGAGGGGGGATGGCGGGTGAGGAGTGGAAAAGGAGAGGTGAGTAGGCAGCCAGCATCCCCCCGCCATAAAGAGGGCAGGAATGGAGACCTCGCATTCGTAAAAAAGACCCATTGAGAAAGAACGGCTCTTACTGCCAGCCTTGCTCATAACAACTAGGGGAGGAAAGGTGCTGACCTCCTCCGGGATGGGCTGTGACTTGAAGAAGGGCTTGAGACGGCCGTCAATGAAGCTTTGTGTGAAGGCCTGCCAGGAGGGGAGCGAGCAGGGGGAAGAGAAAGAGAGAGATAGGGAGAGGAGAGGGAATGAGGAGAAAGTCCTATTGCTACACAGGAAGGAGTTTGTTCATGCCACGAGGGAGAAGGACCAGATTGGATACCACATGGGGCATGGGATTGCCTTGTCGAGGATTGAGAAATGAACAACACCAAACAAAACGGCAGCAGCAGCATGATTTGCGGCGGCAAGAGCAGATGCGATTGCACTCACCTTGATGTTATCTGCTGTGGGGTGGTCAGTCATGCGGTATTTGAGCCCTGCTGCTGGCACTGAGGGGTCCTCACCTCCTCCCATGGTGAACCCCATAAACTGAACACACACATGGGCAGGCATGCACACATAAGGCAAGTGATGTGAGCATGTGGAATGGAAGCAAGTGACAGATGACAGCACATGGAGCTCGTTGCGGCATGCAGCAGCACAGAGGGGGAGTGATGTGAGCATGTGGAGGCGAGTGAGGGGAGCATGTGGAATGGAAGCGACTGACACATGACAGCGCATGGAGCTCATTGCGGCATCACAGAGTGCAGCGCAGCAGCCATGCACTCACGGCAGTGGTGGAGGCGTCTGCTCCAAAGTACTCTTGCATGGAGAGCAGCACAGAGAGAGCAGCACAGAGAGAGCAGCACAGAGAGAGCAGCACAGAGAGAACAGCACAGCAGTCATGCGCTCACCACAGTGGAGGAGGGTGTATTCAAAGCACTCACCGCAGTGGTGGAAGCGTCGGCTCCAAAGTACTCTTGCACGGGTTGTGACTCGGGGTCAGAGGTGTTCACAAACACAAACATGGCCTGTGGCACAGGGAAAAAGAGGGTGGGTGGGTGGAATGACAGCAAGGCGGTGAGACGGGAAGGTGGGTCAGAATGGACTGATGGGCGATAGCATGGCAGTTGTGGCGGTGGAAATGCGTGCTCATGCATGCAATGTGTGCTCATGCATCCAATTCGTGCATCACGAGAGACAATCGACAAGGAACGCCATGCTGCAACTTTTGTCGACAATGGCCAGGTGGGCTGCGGAGGCCTTACTTGCATTCCAGTCACTTTAGTAGAAAAGTGCGTTTAAGATGGAAAAGTGAGCCGGGTTAGGTGAGTGCTTCTGCGTTTTAAATAGCCAGTATGTATGAAGGCTCTGTGAACCATATTCAGAATCGGAGACTGCGTAAACTAGTTTCGGTTCCAGGAACCTTCCGCAATAAGTACAGGTCTGTGAAATGCGGGGGAAACGTGAGCTCATGCTCACGCATGCAAGCATCCGGAGCGACAGTCAACAAGGGGCACCATGCTGCAACACTTGTCGACAATGGCCAGGCGGGCTGCGGAGGCCTTATGTGGGGGGAAACACGTGCTGATGCATCAGGCAGGGGCGACAGTCAACAAGGCACGCCATGCTGCGGCGGGTGTTTGCTTGCCGCCAACCGATGCCCCCCAACTCATGGGAGGCACGAGGGTGGGTGGGAGGAGAGGAGGGTGCGAAGAGTGCAGGCAAGAGGTCCTGGCATGGACCAACCAACGAGGCACAGCACGCACCTGGCCTTTAAACTGCTTGGCTGCTGCAAAAAGCGCGGGTGAGAGCACCTTGAATGCACTGTCTGGTGCAAACAGCAGCACCTGCGAGACAGGATAGAGAAGAAGCATTCAAGAGGAGACAGGAAACCTGAGTGAGAGGCACGGGGGCAGTGCTGCTGCAAGGAGTGCGGGCGAGAGCTCACTGAGTGCACTGTCTGATGCGAACAACAGCACCTAGAAGGGCGGGGTGGAGAGGACGCATGTAAGAGGACACCCGCCCCACAACCGCCCCCTTCCCCTCACTCATCTGCCCCTCCCCTCACTCATCTCCCCTTCCCCTCACACACTCATCTCCCCATTCCCTCACTCACTCATCCCCCCCTCCCCTCTCTCATCTCCCCATCCCCTCACTCGTATCCCCCTCTCCTCACTCATCCGCCCCTGCCATCAATCGCCCCTTCCTCTCCTCTCTCCTCCTTCGATGCTTTGTCACTCCACACCTCGCCACCTCCCTTCGACACGGCCTTTCTGTTGTGCCCCCTGTGACGCCATTGAAACGTGTACAAAAAAATTTGTTGGCTTTTTGGTGGTTACCTTACCAGCACTCAACAAACAATCACCGAATACGGTACGGAACCCTGCGTGTGATAAGGCCTTCTGCACGTCTCTGGCACCTCGTGCCATGCACCCACCTCGTGCCATGCACCCACCTCGTCTCATGCCCTGGCTCACATCGTTCCTGCATTACTCATGCAACCATCTCATCCCCCATGTGTGCACCCCACCCCACCTCACTCCATGCACCCACCTCACCCCATGCACCCACAACATCTCGTGCCATGCACTCACCCCATCTCGTGCCATGCACTCACCCCATCTCGTGCCATGCACTCACCCCATCTCGTGCCATGCACTCACCCCATCTCGTGCCATGCACTCACCCCATCTCGTGCCATGCACTCACCCCATCTCACGCCATGCACTCACCCCATCTCACGCCATGCACTCACCCCATCTCGTGCCATGCACTCACCCCATCTCGTGCCATGCACTCACCCCATCTCGTGCCATGCACTCACCCCATCTCGTGCCATGCACTCACCCCATCTCGTGCCATGCACTCACCCCATCTCGTGCCATGCACTCACCCCATCTCGTGCCATGCACTCACCCCATCTCACGCCATGCACTCACCCCATCTCACGCCATGCACTCACCCCATCTCGTGCCATGCACTCACCCCATCTCGTGCCATGCACTCACCCCATCTCGTGCCATGCACTCACCCCATCTCGTGCCATGCACTCACCCCATCTCGTGCCATGCACTCACCCCATCTCGTGCCATGCACTCACCCCATCTCACGCCATGCACTCACCCCATCTCTCGTGCCATGCACTCACCTCGCCTCTCACCTGCTTGCCGATGGGGGAGGAGAAGATGGCAGCGGAGGTCTCTTCTGTGTACGTCAGCAGCAGCGGCAGCCGGTTTGCTGCCAGGAACGCACTGATGGCCTCCTTGCTGTACTCGCCGTCTGGGTGTGGGGAGGGTGGGAGGGGGGTTGGGGAAGGGGGAGGGGGAAGAGAAGGGTGGGGGTTGGGGGAAAGAGGCGAAAAAGGGCGGAGGGTGACTTTTGAATTGATTCTAATACCAGGAACGTCCTTATGGCCCCATTGCTGTACTCACCGCCTGTGTGCGTGTTGGGTGGTGGGGGGGGGGGGGGGGAGGGGTGAGAGAGGAGGTGGAAGAGGGGAGAGGAGGGGGAAAAGGGGGGAAAAGAGGGGGGGTGTGACTTTGAGTCGAGTCTAATTCCAGGAACGCGCTGATGGCTTCCTGCTGTACTGTACTCACCACCTCCTGGAGGAGAGTGAAAGGGGGGAGGGGTAGAGCGAGGAGGGAAGAGGGGAGAGATGGGGGAGAGGTGGGGAGAGAGGGGAGAAAGTTGGGAAGAGGTGGGGAGAGGTGGGAAGAGAGTCTGGGATCTCCTTGCGGTACTTGCTGTTTGACAGAGAGAGAGTGTGTGTGTGAGTGTGCACGCATGTGTGTGCATGCATGTGTGTGTGTGTGTGCGTGTGTGTGTGTGTGTGTGTGCGTGTGTGTGTGTGTGTGCGTGTGTTGTACTACTGTACTGTGTACCAAACTCCTGCACTCACCAAACACCACCAGCCGCTCCTCCTCCTTCTTCACCACAGCCAGGGCGGGCGCCTCGTCAGCTGGCAGGCCGAAGGCGGCCGCCACGTCAGCGTGCGTGGTGACGAAAAAGTCCACCCCGTCCGTGTCCCTCGCTGCCTCTCCGAACGCTGCTGCCTCCGGGCCCTGGTGGGAGCGAGGGGGGAAGGAGGAAGGGGAGGGAAGGAGAGGACGTGCGAGAGAGGGATGGGGAATGGAGGATGGGAAAGAGATGAGGGAAGCAGGAGGAAGGGAAGGAGGGGGGAAGAGGGCGGGGGAGGGACGGAGGGAGGGAGGGAGGGAGGGAGGGGGGGAGGGAGCGAGGGAGGGGGGGGAGGGAGGGAGGGAGGGAGGGAGGGAGGGAGGGAGGGAGGGAGGGAGGGAGGGAGGGAGGGAGGGAGGGAGGGAGGGAGGGAGGGAGGGAAGGAGAGGACGTGCGAGAGAGGGATGGGGAATGGAGGATGGGAAAGAGATGAGGGAAGCAGGAGGGAGGGAAGGAGGGGGGAAGAGGGCGGGGGAGGGACGGAGGGAGGGAGGGAGGGAGGGAGGGGGGGAGGGAGCGAGGGAGGGGGGGAGGGAGGGAGGGAGGGAGGGAGGGAGGGAGGGAGGGAGGGAGGGAGGGAGGGAGGGAGAGAGGGAGGGAGGGAGGGAAGGGAGGAAAGCGTGAGTAGGGAGGACGAGGCGTGAAGGATGGGGGAGGGACAGGGGACGGATGTGGTGAGCCAGTGCAGAGGAAGATGATTGGTGAGCCAGTGCAGAGGAAGATGATTGGTGAGCCAGTGCAGAGGAAGATGATTGGTGAGCCAGTGCAGAGGAAGATGATTGGTGAGCCAGTGCAGTGGGAGGGAAAAGCAAGCCACCAATTTAACGGAGCCCTGTGCGTAACGAATCTCGAAGCCACTTCACAGTGCTGACTATACAGTCACAGATTTCCCGACCATGTCTCTCTACATCTGCTCGCCTCTCCGCCGATCTCCCTCATCCCCTCTCCGCCTCCCCCATTCTCCCCCTCTCCCCCTCCCTTCCGTCCATTATGCACCACACGGCGCTCACGTCAAGGGAGGGCACCAAGGCCATGGCAGCGGCGGCGGCGCTCTCGAGCAGCGCGGCCGCCTTGGGAATGTCGGCTGGCGCCAGCGCTGCCACGCCCATGCCCAGCTTGCGCTTCACCCACCGCACCATCTCCACACTGCACAGGGGGACAGCAGCAGCAGCAGCAGCAGCAGCAGCAGCAGCAGCAGGGAGAGGGGGGACACGGGAACGTGCAGAGTAGCAAGGCCAGAGAGTGGGCTGTAAGGGATTCAGAGACGGCCTTCTCTCACCGCCGTCACGCCCATGCCCAGCTTGCACTTCACCCACCGCACCTTCTCCGCACTGCAGCAGCGGGCAGCAACGAGGGGAACGCCAGTAACAAGGGGAAGGAGGGGATGGAGGGGAAGGGGGGGAAAGGGTGAACGAGGGGAGAGAGCGGAACGAGGGGAGAGAGCGGAACGAGGGGAGAGAGCGGAACGAGGGGAGAGAGCGGAACGAGGGGAGAGAGCGGAACGAGGGGAGAGAGCGGAACGAGGGGAGAGAGCGGAACGAGGGGAGAGAGCGGAACGAGGGGAGAGAGCGGAACGAGGGGAGAGAGCGGAACGAGGGGAGAGAGCGGAACGAGGGGAGAGAGCGGAACGAGGGGAGAGAGCGGAACGAGGGAGAGAGCGGAACGAGGGGAGAGAGCGGAACGAGGGGAGAGAGCGGAACGAGGGGAGAGAGCGGAACGAGGGGAGAGAGCGGAACGAGGGGAGAGAGCGGAGCGAGGGGAGAGAGCGGAGCGAGGGGAGAGAGCGGAGCGAGGGGAGAGAGCGGAGCGAGGGGAGAGAGCGGAACGAGGGGAGAGAGCGGAACGAGGGGAGAGAGCGGAGCGAGGGGAGAGAGCGGAACGAGGGGAGAGAGCGGAACGAGGGGAGAGAGCGGAGCGAGGGGAGAGAGCGGAGCGAGGGGAGAGAGCGGAGCGAGGGGAGAGAGCGGAGCGAGGGGAGAGAGCGGAGCGAGGGGAGAGAGCGGAGCGAGGGGAGAGAGCGGAGCGAGGGGAGAGAGCGGAGCGAGGGGAGAGAGCGAACGAGGGAGAGAGCGGAGCGAGGGGAGAGAGCGGAGCGAGGGGAGAGAGCGGAGCGAGGGAGAGAGCGGAGCGAGGGGAGAGAGCGGAGCGAGGGGGGAGAGCGGAACGAGGGGATGAGAGCGGAACGAGGGGAGAGAGCGGAGCGAGGGGAGAGAGCGGAGCGAGGGGAGAGAGCGGAACGAGGGGAGAGAGCGGAGCGAGGGGAGAGAGCGGAGCGAGGGGAGAGAGCGGAGCGAGGGGAGAGAGCGGAGCGAGGGGAGAGAGCGGAGCGAGGGGAGAGAGCGGAGCGAGGGGAGAGAGCGGAGCGAGGGGAGAGAGCGGAGCGAGGGGAGAGAGCGGAGCGAGGGGAGAGAGCGGAGCGAGGGGAGAGAGCGGAGCGAGGGGAGAGAGCGGAGCGAGGGGAGAGAGCGGAGCGAGGGGAGAGAGCGGAACGAGGGGAGAGAGCGGAACGAGGGGAGAGAGCGGAACGAGGGGAGAGAGCGGAACGAGGGGAGAGAGCGGAACGAGGGGAGAGAGCGGAACGAGGGGAGAGAGCGGAGCGAGGGGAGAGAGCGGAACGAGGGGAGAGAGCGGAACGAGGGGAGAGAGCGGAACGAGGGGAGAGAGCGGAGCGAGGGGAGAGAGCGGAGCGAGGGGAGAGAGCGGAGCGAGGGGAGAGAGCGGAACGAGGGGAGAGAGCGGAACGAGGGGAGAGAGCGGAACGAGGGGAGAGAGCGGAACGAGGGGAGAGAGCGGAGCGAGGGGAGAGAGCGGAGCGAGGGGAGAGAGCGGAACGAGGGGAGAGAGCGGAACGAGGGGAGAGAGCGGAACGAGGGGAGAGAGCGGAGCGAGGGGAGAGAGCGGAGCGAGGGGAGAGAGCGGAACGAGGGGAGAGAGCGGAACGAGGGGAGAGAGCGGAACGAGGGGAGAGAGCGGAACGAGGGGAGAGAGCGGAGCGAGGGGAGAGAGCGGAGCGAGGGGAGAGTTATGGAAAGACTTTCAGGACGCTTCACCCACCTCACCATCTCTGCGCTGCAGTAGCAGCAACAGCAGGAGCAGCGGGGCATGCGAGAACGAGGGGAGTGGGAAGGTGAGGTTCTTGCAGGAAGCGTGTGAGTTGACAGTCAGACTCGGGGAAGAGCTGATTTGAATTCGATTGCGCGAGGGGGTTAGCGGTTGAGGCGTCTATAAGAGCTTAATAGACTGACCTTTCCTCATCACACGCGGGCGCTGCACACGGGTGGTGCGAACGAGATCGATTTGTTTGAGAGAGTGTACCTGGTTCGCCCCGCGCCGAACGGCTGGAATTCACCATCCGTGGCGAAAAGGATGGTCGGGTAACCATCCACGTTGTACTTGTCGGCGAGCTCCGTTTCTTTCGTCGCGTCCACCTTCGCGAAGAGCACGCCGAGCTCCTTGAGCGTCGCCGCTGCTTCGCGATACTCGGGCGCGAGCGCCCTGCAGTGGCCGCACCACGGCGCGTAGAACTCCACCATCACGTGCTTGTGATCGCTGACGGCCTGCGAAAACGTCGCCGCCGTCAGTGCGACGACGTCGCCGTCGTCGCCCGCCGGGATGTCGTCGTCGCCCGCGTCGTCGTCCTCGTCGTAGGCGTACCGCTCGTCGTCGAATTCTTCGGCATTTGCGAAGAGAGGGCGCCGTGCGAAGGGTTGCGAGACTACTGCGAGAACGAGTAGCGAAAGAAGGACGACGAGATACGCTCGACCTCTGCTCATGGCGACTAGCCGCGCGAGAGCGACGCACGCCAAAGTAGCTTTTCCACACGAGCCGCGAACGGTAGCCTGCTGGAGAACTGCTGAAATGACGAGGCCAAGGTGACAATCGCAAGTCGCAGTAACACGTTGGAGCAGATCTGGAGTCGCGGTTTCTGTAGTTGTAGGTGGAGTGAGATTGAGGACAGTCACGGTGGTGAAGCAATCTTGTACAATCAGTTCCTCTATGAGTCACGCGTGAAGTGGAAAAAACTAACTTGGATCTAACTACCTTGATAAAGGCAAAAGCTTGAGCTGACATTTAATCAATAACATGACTGATTTTATATCCACAGATGTGCAAGTATATGGGGTTTGCTACAGTGATGGAACCAATTTTAGGGCATCTCAGACTAGTCAGGTTATTTTGAACACCAAACGTTTTTTCATTCTTTACGATAACTAGCGTAAAGGGTTTTAGTAGAGAGTAGGCATAGTAGCTGTAAGGAAAATTACTTCGCGCCCCTGCTTACCGCTTACATGACTGTTCCCGCCAACAGCACCCTACAGTATGTTGGAAACAAGTAACTTAAACGCTTCTGAACAGGCCCCTAGATTCGTTTTGGGACACTCTGATGGGTCAGCGTGCACCCGTCTTTGAACTCTGTCAGTCAGAGTTGCCTGAAATTTTGAGGCTGGAAATTCAGACAACACTAGTTTTTTTAGGCTGAACATTCAGAGTTAGACTAAAATTGAAGGCAGATGACTTTTATACTTCATTAAAGAAACATTTCAACAATCTGACTCAGATTCTGACAGATAAGTATCTACAGCTGACCGCTCAACTACTCGCTCCTCTACAAGCTCCTTCCCAGCCCTTGGGGGCTCCCTGTGTCTAGAAGCAGGTGCTGTGACTGGCCGGCGCTTCTTGTAGCTGCGCCAAATTTCTACTACACCAGGCACATCTAGCTCATAATCTAGCAATGACATACACAGCAGATCACTGAGCCTACAGTCCTTGATACTGCCCCTCTGCCACGTCTTGATGAGATTCTGTCTAGAGAATCCTCTCTCACACTCGACGGTGCTGAGAGGCAGCACTGCAATCGCCACCCATAGTCTGACGAGGTTGGGGTACGCTTGCTGCCAGTCAGGTGTCTTGAGAATTGCAGTCAGTCCTGTGTTGAACTTACGCTCGCTCTTAGGAGCTCTGGCCAGGATTGGGCACAGAGTCCGCAGCTCCTTCACGGCACGCTTCTTGTCAATGCCTGCAAGATAAGACAAGGCATGGGATTAGTAAAGGACGCGTTTTCAACGGTCGACCGAGCGTGCAATCATGAACTGACCTGGTAGAATCTCGTCTGAGTCATCGGCGCGAAACAGAGTGACTAACGACAACAGCCACTCAAGGCACTGTGCCTGCCGCGCGTGCCTCTCCCAATTCGGTTGCCACAAGTCAGGAATGAAAAGTCGCACGCCGGAAAGAGAGTCGAGGTCGCCGAGCTTTGACTAGAGCTGTTGGACGAGGAGCTCGGCCATGTCGGCGCAGAGCGCCACACACGCGTCGTGATGACCTGGCCCAAGATAGTTCGCCACTCTGCGCTCGTGTAGGATGACCTTGAAGCGGTTGAGGCTCCCATCTGACGACGCGCCTTCCACCACCATCTCTGGTGACCCCTTCGGTCCGTGCTTCTCAATGAAGCGATAAAGCCGCTCGTTGGGGCCGCCGCCGAAGTCGTCTCCGTAGTCGATGTACCGGCTCTCCAAGAGAGACGTTGTGCGCAAAATCTGCGCATGCACCAAGGGGTAGTCGAGCTGCCACACAAAAGTGCAGAGTGAGTTAGTACACGGATACATGTGTAGACAACACAATACATGTACTCAAGTTACTTACCTCCCGCTGCTGGAAAACCTTGGAGAGGATGTTGAGGAGCTCCAGAACGTCCGCGAGGAACCGTAGCAGGAACTGAAACCGGTAGGACGTGACGAGCTCGTACATCGTCTGGTCCTTCCACTCTAACAGCATCACCACGATGGCAGGGAGGACCTCGACAAAGCGGGCGACTGCAGCACCCCTTGAAAGCCACCGCACCTCGTGGATCCCTTGCACCTCGAGATTGGTAGACGCGAAGACCTCCTGCAGCTCCATGAATCGTTGATGCCACGGTGATGATCGCCCCAGGTACTCAGCGACGGCGCGGATGACGTCGTCAATCATGTTGAACGTGGGTATAGCTTCTGCAGCAGCTTTGGCAGCCAAAGCCTCTCTACACATCGTACAAACAAACAAGATTAGCATATAATTAAAAACCTCACCAACATCTCCACATGAGCACTAAACACAAACGAACCGGTGAGCAATGCAGTGGAACGAAACCAGGTTGGGGATGAGCATCCGAAGTCGAGCAACCACACCATTGTGGGCCCCCACCATCACCATGGCGCCGTCTGTGCTCACTCCTGAAATACGGCGGAGATCAACGCCGACAGCCCTGAGGTGGGAAAGCAACAAACTACACAGGGATGCAGCGTCAGCTTTCTCAACCGTAAGGTGAGCAACGAACTCAGTCACAATTTGACCGTCGCGCAGAAAGGTGGCAAACACAATCATGTGTTTGCCGCGCCGCCTGTCGGTGCTCTCGTCCAGAGTGATCTCGATGAAGGGGCTCGTTAGAAGGTGTTCCAGTTGCGTTGTTTGGAGCCATGTTGCAATTGCCTGAGTTAGTTCCCCGAAGCCGTACCTGTACAAAAAACCAAACAGAGGCAGTTAGCGATCGAAAAGGAGAGAAAACCAACAATACGGTGGTTACAACCGCCAATACTTACGTATTGTAGTACGTGCCGTACCCCTGCTCTGGAAAACCGGCCACCTTCTTCTTCGCCAGGTAGCGCACTAGCCGAATCCACGAGTCCATGGGCTCGTTGCACTTGCTCATGAAGTACAGCGAGTCCACGAGCGACGAAACCTGCAACATCTCCTTGTCCTCCGCTTTCGGGTGTAGATCGATGCGCTGCTGTCGCCCATATTTCTGCAAGAGGTCCTCCTGCCGCTGCAGAGCAAATCGATGCTTCACCGTCCCTTCATGCTTCTTGAAGGACTGCGTCTGCACGTCGGTAGCGCCCTCACCACGCCGTCCACACTTGCCTGTCAGTCCCGCGAACTCCAAGCATATACTGCATTTAAAACCAGGGGCACCAGAAGTGGTTTTAGTTAGAACCAGCCACGAGAAATCGGTAGACCACTTTGTCTTATAACGAAAGTGAGCTTCTTCGTATTTCAAATCCAACTTGTCGGAGGGAGATTTGTCAGTGGGCTTTGAGCTGTCCTGCATGGGAGGTTCGTCGCTCTCTGCAGCTTCAACAGTCGATGGAGGAGGTGGAGTTGCCCACGGAAACGTGGTCTGTCGGTACCGCAGCTTCGTCGGTGGTACGGGACGGGACGGTGCTTCAACGGACGCCTCCTCGGGCACCGACTGTGGCGCAACTATCACGGGTTCAGTGACGGGCTCGGGCAGAGATTCAGAGTGCATGGAAACCGGAGTGCGACTAGAGCTAGGTTGCGAAGGTGGCGCAGGCGGTGGAACATGCTTCGGAAAGACAGATCTAAGAAATTCTAGGCCGGTCACAGCGTCGGAAATAGGCCGACGATAGGCATCTTCGTCATCGTCGAGCCCTTCGGCGGCAGCGTCTATGGCTGCCATTGAGTCTGCCGAGTGTAGGTTTTGCGAGGTCGAGGAGAGGGAGCCTGAAACAAGGTTCTGGCACTACTTTCCGGCGAGGCAATTGATGTGAAGCGAGAGAGACATGGCACAGCAGAGTGACCCTCAAGAAAGGCGACGATGAGGAAGATGAGAGGTCCTCGTATTTGGACCGCTCATCTCCCTGGTGGTCACTGCATGCATGGCACCTGGCCATGTATGCAGGGAGGGTGGGGTGGGTGGTGTGGATGGATGTGGTGATGTGAGAGTAACAGCGCGCTGCGAGCTATGCGTTGGCAAGGAGGACGGTGGGGTGGGGTGGATGGTTGTGCTGTCGTCCGGGTGCAACGCGCTGCAAGCTATGTGTTGGCAAGGAATCTTGCCAACACTGCATGCTGTGCTGCCGCGATTGGCTGGAATTGAACCAGAGTACAGCATTTCTGTACCAACGCGACAGTGCGGTGCCGCGCTCGGGAAATTTACGTTTCCAGCCCGTGATTGACAGTGTTAGTGCAACACGCCGCCAGGCTGGCGGAAACACCTACATTACCCGTTTCAGAGTGCACCCCCGATACAAGGCTGGGGCTCAGCCTACAGCCATAAAATTCGTCTGAAATTTCAGCCAATACATTAAAAAAAACTCTGAAAAATCAGAGAAGGTACATCTAGAAAAACTTTGAGTTCAGACTAGGTAAAAAAAAAAAGCCTGAATGGACTCTGAATCAGACTAAAAAGTCTGATACCTAGGGCCCTGCTTCTGAAGTATCGAAGTATCGACACGAAACGGAGCAGACTACAGTGTAACAACACACGAGTCAACAAAAGCAACCGCTGGAGGTTACGCGAAGGTCAAAGGTCGCTGACCTTTGACTCGACGAAAAATACAGTGCGACAGCAAGGACACATAACTGACTCGATACTGAGCAGTTACCCGAGTCGTCACTGTATCGAACCGCAACAGCAAAAACAGTTGAAGTAAAACCTTTCATACGGTATTCCTTTGTAATCATACAAAAGCTTTGTATCTCTCTGCTATTATCAACTCATCTTGTTCTCACATACCAGTGCAAGGTGGTTCAAGTAACTCTATTATCACGCTTCCGCAATTACAACATTCCTACCACAAGAGGTCTTAGCCTTGAAAATATCCTAAGGGCTTTTTTTCAGCCCAACATGGTATGAGAGCCTCCAAGGCAAGATCGTTTATCCAAACTCCTACAACAACACAAGGCATGGCAACACAGAAGGAGAGAAGCTCCTCCAACGGATCTCTCGGCACCACTCCTACTCCACCTCCAGCCTCTGGCCTACAGACAGAGGAAGGCA